GGTGTCTGTATCTTTGCCAGCTTTGCTGTCTAGATTTTTTTTTTTTACTTTAAATAATAATGAAAAATCTTGAAAATCTTGAACAACAAAAACAACAAAATGCATTTCAAAAATTGAAATCAGTATTAAAATAGAAGAGAAATGATCAAAATTAGAATCAAAAATATTGTAAAAGTGAAGTGGAAATCTAATAGGAGAAAACAAATGGAGGATATGTGGTGTGGTAAGGAAAAAGTGGTGTTGTAGGGAAAAAAAGGAATAGGGGAGGGTAGTGTGGTTAGGGAAGGGGAAATTTGGGGAGTGTGGGGGAGGGGTGTGGTAAAGGAGTTTAAAAGTGTTGGTGTTGATGTGGGAGAGAAAGATGAATGTGAAAAGTGGGAGAGCAATGGTTTTGAAGGGGAGATTGAGGGTATATGGTGGAGAAGAAGAAGAAGAGGTTTGGGAAGAGTAGGGAAGAGGTTGGATGTTTGGGAAGAAAGGAGAGAGAGTAGGAAGGTGATGGTGTGTAGGAAAGATGGAGGGAGGGTGATCTGGTAGGGGTAAGAAGTGGAAGCTGGGAGAGGAAAGGAAAAAGGGGAAAGTGAGGGATAGGTGGTATGGTGGGAGAAAGGGGGGGAATGTGGGAAAGGTGAGGAGAAGTGGTATGGTAGAGGTGAAAAGGGGGTGTTGGGGAGAGGTGGTATAGTGGGGAGAGAGGGGGAGTTGGGGAAAGGGGAGAATGGGGGAAAGTGGAGTTGATGGGGGAAATCAAGGGAAAGGTGGTGTTGTAGGGGATGTTGGGGGAAAGGTGGATGAAGAAAGGGAAGAGTTGGGGAAAGGCGGTGTGGTAGGGGAAACCGGGGGGGTGGCTGTGTGGCAGGGGTGAAAGGGGGGTAATGGGGAAAGTAGTGCAGAAAGGGGAATAGTGGGGTAGAGGTAGTGTGAAAGGGGAAACTGAGGGAGAAGTGGTGTGGTAGTAGAGAAGAGGGAAAAGCTGGGGATAGGTGGAGTTGTTGGGGACATTGGGGGAGAAGTGGAGCAGTGGGGGGAAAGGGTGGTGTTGTAGGGAAAATTGAGAGAAGAGTAGCGTGGTTGGGGAGCAAAGGAAAGAGTGGGGCTGGGGTGGTTTTGTAGGGAAAATTGGGGGAATAGTGGTGTGTAAGGGGAGGAAGGGGAAAAGTTAGGGGGAGTTGGAGTTGTAGGGGAAATTGAAGGAGTGGCAGTGTGGTAGGGGAGAAAATGGAAAAGTTGGGGAGAGGTGGAGTTGTAGGGGAAATTAAGGGAGAAGAGGTGTGGTAGAGGTGGAAAAGGAAAAGTTGGGGAGATTTGATGTGGCTGGGGTGGTAGGTTGTTAGGGAAGAAAATGAGATGGTGGAGAGAGTATCTTAAAAAGTTCAATGAGGAAGCAATTATTACGCACATGGCAACACCTGGAATTTTTTTTTATATACAACTGTCAATGAACTCTTGTTCATATGCATACATGTACCTAATTATGGGTTATCCTTTATTTCTGCTTAATCTTAATTGGAATTATTTAAATTTATAATATAGTTACGTATTATATTAATCCCCACCCACTAGATAGCCATGTTTTATGACAACATTCATATTATTTCTAATTTTGGCTTTTTTTTTAAATGAATTTTACTTTTTAAAAAAACATGTACCTATTGTTTTTTTTACTAGATGTCTGTTAATTTGTAGGTATTACACTTGTTCCATCCTTCAGTTACAAATTATACTGCCAGTGCCATTTGCTTTATTTTAATTTTATCCACTTAAGTTATTTGTCATATACAACTTGAGATGTCTGCACATTTTACATATTTTCTGTCTAATATCATCAGTCTTCACCCCAAAAGCTGTGATGACAAGTTTGATAACTTTGATGGTCAGCTGCAGGGGAGAGACTTATAGAATTCAGAGTCTGGTTTTGTGTGATTATAGGCATGGTGCTGTACCAGAAATATTGAGTGTATACTATGTTTACCAGATGTATGTATAGCAATTCATTTTTGTTGGAAATGTTGAGTGTATACTATGTATACCAGATATATGTATAGAAATTCATTTTTGTCAGGAATGCCGAGTGCATACTTTATGCAGGATATTATAGTCATATGTTTTAGGTATCATTCATTATACTAATAGCTTTCATTTTCCAAATTAATCTGCCAGTGCCATTTGCTTAATTTAAATTTCATCCACCTAATGTATATTATTCATTATGCAAATTGAGATGTCTGCACATTTTACATATTTTCTGTCTAATATCATCAGTCTCCACCCCAAAAGCTGTGATGACAAGTTTGATAACTTTGATGGTCAGCTGCAGGGGAGAGACTAGTAGAATTCAGAGTCTGGTTTTGTGATTAGGCACGGTGCTGTACCGAGAAAGTTGAGTGTATACTGTGTATACAATATATATGTTAAGCAATTAATTTTTGTTGAGAATGTTAAGTGTATACTATGTATACAATATATATATATGTATAACAATTCACTTTTGTCTGAAATGTTTAATGTATACTATGTATGCATGATATTTTATTTATAGCATTTTTTATTTACCTTTAACTTAAAAACTCTTGCAATCAATATCAAAGAAACTATATATTTTTATCCTTATTTTGGTTGTGTAACAGTGTGAATAATTCTTAAAAATAACCATATGAAACAGGTATGAACACTGGTCTTTTTTCACTTCCCATATTATAAAATTTTTCAGTTTTTCATTAAAATAATCACTAGGAATGGAACTTTATACAAAGCAAGTACTTTGACATGCCTGATAATGTACCAAATATTATTTTATGCCTTTTGCTTATAAGAAATTGTCTGTTTTTGACAAAAAATCTGTTTGTAAATTGTACATCTATAAAGTTATACTTATAATTAGATATGTTTGAAAGGATAGTGATCTTTATTAAGAAGTTGCAAAAAGGTTTAGAATTAGCAAAGTAAATTTTTTATTTAGACTTGTAAGGTTTTAGAATCCATTGTCAGACTGGCTTCACTTTATTCCCATGTGAACTCCTTTCACCTTGTTAGAACCGCATGCAGCATCCATTTATTAGCTTGTTTCATTTTTAATATTAAAATATAAAGAGTTCATCAGTTTTTTTTACTGCAATCTTTTGAGCCCCTTCCGATGTTTATTTGTTGGTAACCATTCTTCCATCTTTGTTTGTATGAAAAAGAGGTGTCTTGGTAGTTTATTGCTTCATGAACATGTAAGAGCAGTTTTTACTGGAACAGGCAGGAGGAACCCGCACACCTCTCCAATCTTTCTGCTGTGTTTGAAGTTACAATAAGGATGAGGACATAAAAAGACTCCAGTTTAGCTGAACAATTTATTATCTACTCCTGATTCCATCTATACAAATTATTTTAATGTCACATTTTCTGTTCATTTCATATCCTATCTTTAATATTAAGAATTAAACATAAGCACCTTTAAGTTTTGATCAAATGTTACGTTGCTGCCCTTTGAAAGGCAGGTTTCTTCTATTTCACACAATTTTCAACAATTACTTTTGTTGCCATTTGCTTACAGTAATAAAACTATCAGCCCTTTTTTAATATTCTGATAATTTTACCAATAAATGTGTGAAAACTGAACAGCCATAAAAAATTGTCAAAAATGGTTGGAGAACCATATCTAGAGATGAATTTTCACAGAAATACCCCAGGAGACCTTTTCAGTTCTCAATCAAGAGAGGAAAGCATTGTCCTGACCACTGAAAAATTAAAATAAATGTACTGGTCAACACATGATGAAACTGCCCAGTCTTTGCCTGCCAGCTTCAACAGTTTTTTACCAGTCCAAAATTACCCAATTTCTATTCTACGTTTCTCTCCACCTACAAGATTATTTCTGTCCATCATATTGCACTTGACATACACTGAGCCAAACATGATATATATGGCACTGATTGTGACATTGTAAGCCAATACTACAACACACATTTCTGACCAGTCAGTTATGTATGTGAAAACTAAAACATAATATTAAATTTTAACTGATTAGATGAAAGCTGATCACAAATTATCTCAACTGATAAATAACAACCCAGTTGTCATTTCAGTGCCACAATCAGTTTTATACTACCATATAAAATACATTGGTGAAGATTATGCTGCTAAATTAACTACTCTAATACGTCTATTAAACACACCAGACAAAAGCTAATGGGCATCAAAATACCAATTCTGTCTGTATGCAGTGCTGATACATGCATGTATATGTTCTTTTCCACATGACAATTTTTCGCTATTGGAACTGGCAAATAGGCAAACTAACATGAACTTGAAGCAGCTGTACAGAAATGACTTGGTTGAACTTCATTGTTCTGCTTGCCTGCATTTCAAATCCAATGCAGGTGGTTTTATGTATTTTGAACTTTAAATATATGCCTGCTATTTTACTAAGTGCATATGGAACTTTGAAGATGAAGAAGATGGTACTTAATGTGTACTTAATAAGAAGTTTGGGATTATGCCATATACATGCAACAGCTGGCCATATGCACAATAATGGATGCTTGAAATTCAAACCATTATTGCCACATCTGTCATCTACAAGTGATCTTTTAAGAAATTGCTTTATTTCTTTTCCAGCATTCAGTTGTTCTAACAATAACAGACAATACGATTTATAAATTTTGCAAGTTTGCTGACACTTTGAATCTGATAATAATCTAAATAAAATCAGCACACCCACATACATGCACTATACACTTCTTTCCCCTTTTTTTGCACCACATAATATTATGTACATGTCTGGACATATGATACTAACCATAAAAAGATCATGTGCATATATTTCCTTGGATGTAACAACAGACAGTTCAAATCTAGACACTGATCAAATCTAAATATAGCAGACATGAATCTTTATAATTTCAATAATAAACGTAACGTGTACCTTTAATCATAATCAAATCACAGTAATTCTATCTGACATAGTCTCAGAGATCAACCAATAACTTCAAAACAACATAACCTTTTTTTTTTTTCATCATATTTGCTGGTTCTTTGGTTAAGGAATCATTTAATTGTACCAACATTGAGTGGATTATATACATCATGTAAGTGCCTGTCTCCTACACAATATGCATAAATTTGTCTACCATTTGGATGTGTATGTTATATAATCTAAATGCTGTACAGGATTCAAAACCCACCCAAATATCTGTTTTCTAATCATAGACCCATCTCCTTTTGTGTCCAAAGCATGAAAAACCATCCAATTAATGCTGACTTGTTACCAATATCATCATCTTCCTGACATTTTGTCAACTGCTTTGTGATTGGTCATGTCATGATCAGGTGATTAGAGAACTATCCTTTTCATTTTTAACACACATTTCTACTGGTGTTTTCTGCATCCCAGTGATAAGACTAGACGGGAGCAGTTGGCGTACTGGGGCTAAGCGTCTGTATGCTTTGGAAACTGTTGACAGAGGGCGAGTGCTTCACCTCTTTGTAGCAGCTCTTGCAAACCGGCACTGGGCGCTGTGCGTAGTGACCTGGGAGAGGAATATGGCGGCCAATGCACCTCTGACAAAACACGTTGCCACACTTCCAACAGTGGTGCTGTAAAAAAGAAAGGATTTATTACAATTGTGATGACAGAAAGTATATCACTTGTGCATGTGGATCCATGATTTTACCCAAGGTATGATAGAAAAACTCTTAATTTGTTTTGTTCAGCAGGTATGCAAGTAAAAAAAAAAAAAAAAAAAAAACTCCCTGACCTGATCCATCAGTGCAATGTGGAGGGATTACTGTAATTTTTCAAACCCCTCACTTTTTCTAAATTTTTTTTTTTCAATATTTATCATTTTGATTTTATCACTTTCAATAATGAACTTTTCAAAACATTGAAAACAGCATGACTTAAAAAATATAAATATAATGCTTTATATATTGGAAATCATTAATTTATTTTGTTCAATTTCATTATTTTATTAACACACCTAAACTACTGAACTAATTGTATGACACACTGAAAATCAGAAGATCTCTTAATTCAAACGATGGACGCCAACAGCAATGTATATCTGGATAACAAATATTATTGCAATTACTTGAACACTATCACATTTACCTTTTTTGTATAGTGTTCAAAAGGTGCTGCACAACTGCATTGCTTTATATTCCTCAATGTTTTCCAGTCCACAGCCACAGATTCCATCTCTAGCTCCAGTTGCTCCAGCATCAAATTATCAAAACTATTGGATTGAGAAATAACAGGGGAATCTTGAAGAGAGTCCACTTCTTCAATACCTTCGAGTTCCATCCCAGATTTCGACATTTGTGACCCACCATCTTCAAACCCAGATTCAGAGTCACTCCTTCGAACTTCATTGTCCCTAACAGAATTGTCTCCGCCTACAGCACTGCCATCTATACTTGTGTTATTCACAGTTTTTGAATTCTGTGGAGAAGCACTCTGTGCACTGTTTGCCGCAGCATGTCCTCCGTCACTACTCAGTGGACTGAGTCCTTTTGTTAACTCACATAGCATGTATAGGGATTCTGAAGACACCAGACCCTGCAGTTTTGACTTGAGGGTGTCCTCTGACTTGCCTAGCAGCTTTAGCAGTGACTTGACTCTCTGTAATATTGTAAATAATTTATTACTGATTTATCATGTCATCTATTAATCCATCAGCAATTCAACATCTACCCCCCCCCCCAAAAAAAAAAAAAAAATATATATATATATATATGATTTTTACATTTGGGAATTAAGAAACAAGCTAAAATGATTAAATGACTAATTCTGCATACATAAATTCTACTTACAGATTTATATATACAGTTTACATGTTTGTTATTGCCAGAAAGCTCAATCCCCATATTCCTTTTCAGAAATGTACCACTCAGAAACCTATGCCCTACCTTCTCCAGTAGTATTACATGGTCTTCCAGAGAAGTACTGTGGTCTGTCATAGCACTTAGGATGTCTCCTATATTCTCCCGCGGGTGTACACCATTATCAAAGCGATTGTACATGCTCTTCCAGAACCTTAATAGAAAATCATATGAATGTAACAGCTAATAAATATGGATGTGTATTCAATCTTAAAGTTTGTGTAGCCTCACCCTCAAAAGAGGGTGACTGCATGGCCAAATACCCAATTATTAGAGAACATGAACTAGCAAATCTGTCAGTTGATGAAAGAAACTATTAAAACTAGAGGATCAGAGAGGCGATACCGCCTCCGAATATTGTACCACCAGCTGGAGCAAGCGCATTTGTATAGACCCCCACATACACAAAATAAGGGACACAGCCACCAGTCTTTTGCTTGACAAGCTGTAAAAATGCAATCAATAAGAATTTTCAAAATATGCAAAAAAAAAATATATAACTTAAAATGGTACAATCAANTAACGCTGGTGGTACAATAATATCTGAGGAATAATTTTTATGATGTTTTACGTCACATTTGGTCAAATACCGTCTTTTTTCAACATCTCTTAAAGACCCTTCAAATATTTGTCTCATATGACAGAACTAAAACATGTGGAATGTGAACCGAAAGCTATTCACACCACAGAGATTCTAAAACAATTCAGAACTTTTGGATTATGCCTGGTGCAATAAAGTATCAATTTCATTACATTATTACCTGAAGACCTGTGGATTGCAATTAGGTCTTAGTACAGGATTCGTCAGTTCATAATCCTTCTTGAACATTGGGTTGATATATTCACTAGTATGGTTAAGCATATGTCCCCAGAGGGAGTAAGTCCTCTCTGACAGTCTGAAAAACACATTTAACACATCATGCTATAAGTTCATCAAGGTTTATCCAGAAATCCAGTTAAGAAAATATATACATGCTTTTGAATCACTGCTCAGGTGAATCATCAGCGACCAGTGGTGTAGTCTTCCTAATAACTTCAACTTCCGACTAATAAGTAGGATGCAACATCACCATGGTCGCAAAAATTATAAACTAAAGACATCGTGTGGCCATAAATTTGTTAATACACCATACATAATATTACCATGATATTCAATATGCCTTACCTGAGATCAAGTCTATCCTTCTCACAGTTTCCAATGAAAGTGCCAAACTGGCATGAGTACACGTGATCATGTATTGTGAGAAGGAATCGTTCGTTGAATTGGAAAGCACACGGGAACTGTTGCATGAGCTGCCACACGCACTCTATGAACTGGGTGAACACGGGAGACTCTTCTTTGGCCTCGATGGATTCCAGAAACCTGCACCGGTCTGTGAATTTGTGGCCGAATGACAGCCATTCTTTCTCTATGAGAGCCTGGAAAAGGAAAAAGATCAATTTTCTATTGAAACTTTCGATTTAAGAAGTCTGGCATAAACATTGTTTTACAGAACAAAGAAGTGTCATATATGTTTTTAAACCTAAGGAAGAAAACACACTTCAGCTTAAAAACATTATGGACAAATTTTACAGAAATCAGTGAATTCCCCCCCCCCCCCTCCAAATCAGACAGGTGGTATTGTAACATACAATAAACTGTTCACTTAACCTTACTTTGCCTCAGTTAATTTTCACCTGTCCACATTATAAAGTTAGAGTAAACAGACAACCCACTTGCTACTGAGCTAAATATCAGACAGTCTGTTTCAATCAAGTGTTTTAATTACTGTGCACAGGTGCCCTTATCTTAGCTTGATATTATTGAGAAAAAATCAATGGAGAAAAGAATATGGTAAACTAGCTTTCCTGTTGAACACATGTATCGCACTTCCATTAGTTCATGTAAAACTTGTTACACGATATATATAAGGAAACATTTGTACTAGATGCTGCCTAAGTAGAATATAATATGCTATCCAGTGTTTTATGCGCTATGTAATCAGGGATGAGACTGCCGTTTAATGAAAAATTCGAAAATATGGTGTGGGGCTACCTGAGCCAATGATATTTTTGACTCCCAAAAAGTTGGAAATCCACCAATACTCAGAAAAATCTCACTCCTGTATAATTCTTCTAAAATTACATCACGATAAAGTTTTGCTCAAACTGAAACAGTGTATAATTCATCTAAAATTACATCAGGATAAAGTTTTGTTCAAACTGAAACAGTTTGAAACTCCATAAAGATCTAGCAAATCCGTTAAATTATCTCAAAATTGCCTGCAGGTTTTTACTTATGGATAAAGCTTTTTTTTTCATGTCCACAAATGGAATCAACTGCAGACCCATATGGTTCAAGTACTCAGTATCTTATGTGCTGGAAAGGTTGCATGGGTATGCCTGCTCTCAAAACATTAATCTCTACAATACTACAATGTTATCCCTTTAAGTTATTAAAAACTATGGTACTTGTTAAGCTTTCTTGGCATAAATCCTGACCATAAGCACATTTTAATAGGTATATCTATTTGAAGAGCTTGCAATAATCAGAAAGCCTTATCTGCTTAGGAACTGTAAGTATTGAGGAATTCTGGGCAATTGTTAAAATGATTGGAGAAGGGATTACTGTAAAATTTCCAATTTTTGTTTTTTCATCATATACTAACTAATATATGGATACATTGATTTTTTTAATGTGGCCTATAAAGAAAAAAAAACTTAAACAACTGGGAATAATATGAGGTTGACTTCAGGAGAAATTCTAACAAAATGTAAAAGAATACAGCAGTGTCAGAGGGACACTAATAAATAATCTTACAGTATTTGCTCTGGTTTTATTACAAGGAACAAGTAAGTAATAAGCAAATATGGTATGAGGATGAGAAGTATCTCACTTTTCCTAATTACAGTGAAGGCAAAGCATGACAATGTCTCTGACAGGAGTCTTGGTATTCCTTCTCTTCCCGCACTTTCTAATTTGGCTTGGAAATTGCGACACAGGTAGGGACAATGCAATTTAAAATTCCTAATTTTAAGTCTTAACGCAAATCCTTTCCTTAACCCATCAAAAAGGATTCTGTGAAAGATATCAGTAAGTTTTTTATACTTTGGTATAGTTGTAAAAGCTGTTCAATATAAATAAATACCAACCTTATTGGTGAAGTACAAAAAATTTAAGCATTAATTGCTCCCTCTATCAAAAATTTCTAAGATTTTAAAACAAATCCGTACAGTTTTTTTTTTTAATGAGCTAACAACCAGTTACAACATACTTTTTTCATTTACAGGTTGTACTTTCAAGGCAGATATTGCCTTCTTGGTTGATGCTTCGGGAAGTGTAACACAACCAAACTTTAACAAAGTGCTCCGTTTTATTGCCACTCTGGTGAACAACTCATTGGACATAGGCAGGAACAAAGTAAGGGCAGCAATGGTAACATTTGGAAATGGCTACCAAATTCAATTCCCACTGGACAAAAACTTTACCAAGGAGGGTCTGATAAGATTGATCCACAAGACACAATACACAGGAGGCAGAACAGATACACACAGAGCCTTGATGCTTGCCCGGGTGGCTGTTCTGAACCCAAGAAGACCATCTGGAGCTAGAAAAGGAGTGCCCCATATTGCCATCCTTATTACAGATGGTCTCTCCACTGATCCAGAGCTGACAAAACAGGAAGCAGAGATGACCAAGCAACAAGGGATTGAACTATATACTGTAGGGATTTCAAATGAAACCAGCTATGAGGAACTGGAAAAGATATCTAGTTTACCTACTGACCAGCACATTTTCGATGTGGACCACTTTGACCAGCTGATGGACATTGGCTATAACTTATCTGCTGCATTATGTTCAGGTAAAGAATTAATTTCTGTTTCTTTTAGCTGAAGGGCATTCTAGAATATTCAAAAACAACTTCTGACTTTTTTTGAAAGATTTCATATTTTATTTCTCTATTCACCATTCTACTAGAATAACTTAAGACTGTGCACTTGCAGACAATATTTATTTTTATTTTTTCTTAGATAAGATGAAAATGATTTTGGGATGGAGTTAATGAAAATTAAAAAATATTTTTTTCTATGCAATTCTTTTTAAATGAGACTATCTGACCTTCACCAAACTTTTTCCACAACAATAATAATCCATATATTAGTCTCTTAAACATAACAATTTGTTTCAAACTCTTCAGGTCTGTTAAGCAAGATGACTTCACCCACACAAAGACCAGATACAACCACAGAACCCTCAAGTGAGAACCATCTGGTGTACCAGACTCCTCTCTTCAATTTGCACATGACAACAGCCAATAGCACAGAGCAACCCCCTGAACAGCCCACACAAACCATCTACGCCTCTGGAGGAGCGGGAGTGGGTGTTACAGCACTGGGGTTATCTCTCTCTGTACTAGCTTGTCTGATACTTGTTTTTTTCACAATGCGATATAAGCTTAGAAAGAAGGTGGAACCTCTTGACACAGAAAAAGTCCACATCTTGGACAACAAGTGAATCACTATGGTAGAGCTATAGTTCCACAGTTTGAAAGTTAATGATATATAGTAATCTTTGTTATTATTCAAAATTAGATGTAAAAGAACAAATAACACGACCTCTAATATTGTTACTGCATAAAAAATTATGTAAGTTTACTAGCCTTTAAAATAAATCCACATTGATGAGTTATAGGTAATGTCAAATTGAAATTTATGCGTTTTATGCCAGTTAACATTACAAAAAGATCCTTCTTCACACTTGTTAACAGAGCCTGGTTTGACAGACAGTACAGTTCATTGGCACTGTAACTAATCCTAAAGCCATCTAAATGCTATTACAACACATGTAAAACCGTATAAGTGTGAAAATTAAGAAACCCCTCTTTGACTAGTAGCCTTTGATAATACCCTACATATCTTTGGTCGCATTTATAGCCAGTTGATCCGCAGACTAACTAGCAAGCATGGGAGGAGTGAAAATCATTGTCAAGCGCCCACCACAGAGCGCATTCAAAACAGCAGACTAACAGATCCGCGGATCAAATATGGCTGACCCACTTGATTGCTTGTTGAGTAATCCCGTGGGGAATCTATTCAGTGTCTAATGGGGGAATTAAGCAGCAAGCTTTTTAGTGGGTTGCCACATTTGATCTGCCAATCTGTTAGTCCACTGTTTTGAATGCTCTCATATTTGATTGTGGACTAGTAAGTATGTGGATCAAGTGGTTGTGAATGCGACCTTAAATAAGCCATATAGCCTTTCACAACATGGCTTACATGAAAACAAATGTAGCAGAAAAAATAAGCAAATGTGTGAAGCAAAAAAGAAAAAAATGACAATAACTCAGGGTTCATATCAGTTTTTTCATGACAAAAAGAAGTAAAACTGTTTGGTGGCTCTCATGAAATCCAGATCAGCCCACAATTGGTCTTAAATCACATTGAAGTGTGTACACGTTGTACAGATTAAGTGATGAACACTGATAAAGCACACATCAGCCAATGTCCCTTTTTACTGTACATGTGTGAATTATTATGGCTGCATAGACCTATAGCTAGCTCAGCTTAAGAGTCCATTCCCATAGATTTAGATTGATCCATCTAGAACGACCTAACTCCCTTGGGGTTCACGCTAAATTGCAGTCAGCCGAGCGTGCACGGTAGTTAATTACCCCCTTACAGCTTTTAGAAGGTGGGACAGACGCTAAAGCCGACTAAGTTGACAGTAATCTAGTGAGGCTCTCCACAGGGATAGATCGAACTAAAATCTGTGGGAATGGGGTCTAATACTTGCCTCCATTTTACAATATAATCTCAGTCGCAAGTTGAGAGACCAAAGTTCTAGTCAACTGATCTGTAATAAATCTGTAGTTTGTGACTAAAAAATAACAGTTTGATCCAAAACACTAGCCATTTCAGACTTTTTGGTGGAACAGGCTCAATGCCTATCTAGACATTACCTACTTCTAATCATCCTGAGTCAAATCGGACCAATTTTTATGGTCTTAAAGTTCAGTCCACCTTTCAGCTACCAAACCTCTTTTGTGTTATATTAAGAAATAATAAACCATTTGAAATAGTGATCAGGTTGGTACTAAAACCCTGCATTTGTTACTTGAACCTTAGTCACTGGTCTTTGATGTCAGACTAATAAATCTGCCATCTGACTGATAAAAAAATTGAATTTGACAAATTGACTAGTCCAATCAGACAAGTGGAAATTACAGCTGTCATTTTAGATTAATCTTCCATTATCTACATAATGTCATATTCGAATACATGTTAATTTTGATTTGCACTGGAAGCTTAGTATACTGAAGCCCACCTACTAATCCCAGTGAACACTGGGCTGAAAAGTTCAAGGTTAAGACTATATGCTCTCTCTCTCTCTCTCTCTCTCTCTCTCTCTATATATATATATATATATATACCTGGAAGCCATGTAAGGTCCTGTAGTAAGGGTCCAGAAATATACTGGCCAGAGAACAGGTCTGTGCTGTCCTGTCCCAGCCATCAGAACAGTGGACCAGAACACTGATGCCATCCTCCACCGCCTGGGAATAAACAATAGAATTATAGATACACATGTATTAAATTATATTCATGACTAAAATTGTTTAAAATAACTTATAAATGGGAATGTGTGGAAATCGTGATGATCATTTTATAATTTATACTGTTTGAAAAAAAATTTTTTGTAGCTGCTTGGAGTTAGGAATTTTAATATATAATAAATTAGAACATTATAATTCAATTCTAAAACATTTTAACCACTTTCTTTGCTGCTTTATGAAAATAAAGCATGTTAGACATTATACATCTCTAGTATCAGCTGGATCTTTACATAATTCTGTCTAGAAAGCTGTAAGAATTTCCCAAAAGTTGTTAATCTATAAGACATTTACATCTTCAAAAAAGATCAAGATATAATTATAGTAACAACATTTATCTTTGTCAAAAACAATCTATTTAATTGCACGTGCATAATCACACATCTTGGCAAAATATTGACCACAATTCCTTTGTGAAAACTACAATTATTATCATGGCACATTCAGCAGTGCTTATTATGATTCAACATCACTCATTATTACTGTTAAGTTGATACTCATCACCAATAGTTCCAAGTTTGCTCACATTTGCAATAAACACGGCTGTCTCCATGATTGCTCGGATGTGTTTCTGCCACCCACTGGTCTCCAGACCTGTCAGGAAAGCACTCATTGAGGGATTCTTCAGCTCACTCACTGCAATAATAATAATAATAATAATAATAATAATAATAATAATAATAATAATAATAATAATAATAATAATAATAATAATAATAATAATAATAATAATAATAAAGCTCTGGGACTTGTGAAGAAGGGATTAGAGAAATACACCGACAAAATCCCTGGAAACATCAACATCCACGAAGTCCAGAAGATAGTCCTCCTCCGAACAACACACATACTATGGAGGGTGCTATCAATGAAGTAGAAAGGAACAACTTTCCTCTAGCGCCTCAGGACCATTGTTTGGGCCCGGCTCTTTAGGACATAATAAACAATGCAGAAAGATAATAATAATAATAATAATAATAATAATAATATCAGTGAATAGGTTAAGTTATCAATATATCATTTTAAGACCATATACGTGTACATCATCAAGCCCAGTCACCATCTGGTCAAATTGTTGTTGCTATATCCATTCCACTGTACATATATATATTGTAAATGTTTTAGTGCTGATGTGTGTGAGGATGAGTGAGATTTGTGAGAACTATTTTAGTAGTTCTTTATCAAATTGTGCTTTTCTTTTGGAGTTGGGGTAAAATATAAGAAAATTTGGTCAAATCCATTTTGTCATTTGCAAAATGTCTGCAAAAGATTAAACATAAAAAAAATTATGTTTTCAAAGGAACTCACTTACCAAAATTTCAAAACAACATTATTTCTTTTCATTTTTTCCATATCAAAAACAGATTCTCTTTAATCCCTTCATCAGGGTAAAAGTTATTGCATGGCTACTACATTCCTACAAAAGCATTAAAATTTCCTTGGATCATCTATCATGTTACCCTAACATTTTAAAGAACAGGAATACTTTCCACTTCAAAAGAGTCTAATCAAATGTTGGCTGAGGGCCCTAGGGAAAAACTGCCTGATTATTTTTACAGTGCAGATAGATGTCTTTCAATCAATAATGTTACATACTTTTTCAATGTCTTGAGTGCAGATTCACAATAACAAGTGTTTGAAATATGAATATTGTAAGATAAACAACATATAAAGGTGAGGTAAACAGCACCCAGTTCTCTCTCTCTCTCTCTCTCTCTCTCTCTCTCTCTCTCTCTCTCTCACACACACACACATACACACACACCTAAACAAAAGTAATAGTCAAAGATAGTATTAAGAACAATTTTGCCAAAAAGGGAACCCCACAAATTGAAATGTGTGCACTATTTGTTAGGAAATTATATTTTTTAATGTAGATACTTCAGGCGCACACATTATTTTAATATCATTTGTCAACACTAATCAGTGTTTATCATTAATCTGCTTCATTTCTTTTTACTAATGGGACCTTCAATAAATGCGGCCGTCATCGGCCAAAATTCGATCAGCATACTTGAGTTTGCTCCATTCTTTTAACTTAGGTTCTGTTACTTACTTAAATCAGCTTAGATCAAGGAGACAATGATCTGTGCTAATGCCAGGCAGTAAACAGTTGATTTCAACCCTTTACTTTGTTAACCCCCTACTCTCACACTACTGGGCATATAACTCAAGTGTTACAATCTACAAGTCTACAGAGAGATTGCACAGACTGGATCGAAATCAATTGCTTTTTGCTGAAAAAAAATAAAGGTTTTGTGCAAACCTTTTTGAACCCGCTCTAACTCTTAATGGCCTGGGATAACACATGCATGCTGGAAAATTACGGACAATTCCTACAACTTCAATCACGAAAAAAATTGTTGTAAGGTGTCCCTTATCTTAAGTTAGTTCACTGCCTGCATATACTGAACATGCCTTTGACCCATTAGTTCTACATGTATCAATAAAAGTCAGAGTGCAACGAGTACATACATGTAGCAATATCATTACTGTAACATTTGCTGTATAGGGTAGTGGATCAGAAAAGGGGAATGAGGATAGTTGTTTACCACAGACCACAGACACCTCTCTCCATCCCCATGTGAATTTTGGCCGGTAAATTCATAAAATATACAGTAGTACTGGAGATACCTTGAAGAGTTACATCTTAGACTATATCTGTTAAATACACAAGAGTTCAGAAAATGCTTCATACTCAAACTCCTCTTTTCTCCTCCTCTTCTTTTTCTATTTTTTTCCCTTTAGAAACAACATCCTGGCTGATTATATTGACCACATCTTCACGTGCACCAAATTTGTTTTTATTAAATTTGACCGCTTTGTCCTCTAGTGACACAGGTGGCACTTAAGTTGCATTTAATTCACTATCATTTCATTAGCCTTTACACAGATGTCTATAATTCCAATATCCTGTCACCAATAATAGAGCACTGATCCGAACAAAAAAGCCTCCCTGGTTACTAACATTAAACATCAAATGACCAAACACCGACTGGATTACAAATGTCAGCTGGGGATGGATACTTCGTTTTCTGGTTCTCTTTACAGCTCAAAGTGTCACTTTAACTGTCCTTTTGTCTTATCAGAGAACCTTTAAGGGAAGCTGAAATATCACGTTTTTTAATTTGCTCAATCTACCGATTCATCTCTCAGTTTCAGCAGTTGATGTCCCTTTCTAGGGGTAGATAACACTTTATTGCCTCAAATGAGATATTGGATAATGGTATCAGACTCTATCAACTGTTTAATTTTATTTTTGTTATCAGCACTTGCTTTTGTGCTGTAAGAATAAAGAGGTGAATTCAAAAAACTTTGTAATGAGAAATAAAAGAAGTGTTCAGTATAGATAATTGTGTTTAAAAGGCATTTTTTTTTCACTGATTGACTAGACAAAAGCATAATTTTAGTTTATAAACTCCCAAAGTCATGAAAAAACAACCTGTGACATCTAAATGCCACAAAAGAAGTTAGACAGGTGTGTGTGTCAGGCCTACCCAACTACCAGACTCGGCACCGAATGATCCTAAATTCACCGGTAGATCAGACCACACTACCCGTTTTCAAGGTGTGAGTCAGTACGCATTACACAGTATCATACCCTGAACAAATTTTGAGTGGTGATGCAATGCTTTTCAACCCCGCTGAGAATCGTCACTATCACATCGCGTACTAGGCAAGAGCGGTGTCACGTCTGATACTGTGAAATGCGTACCGATACACACCTTGAAAACGAGTAGTGTGGTCCGATTTACCAGTGAATTCAGGATCATTCGGTGCTGAGTCTGGTAGTTGGGTAGGCCTGTGTGTGTGTGTGTGTGTGTGTGTGTGTGTGTGTGTGTATGTGTATGCACATATGGACACATGCTTGTGTACGTATGTAGGCATATGCACAGGAGCCCAGAGGTTCTTCTCAAGCAGTGTATTAAATTGCATTGTAATTAATTTTATTTTGGTTTTACTCATCCCATATGAAAGAAAAAAAAATGGGATGAAAGATAATTAAATCTGTTACCTACAGTGTATACCCTAATAAGAAAACTTTACAGTTTGGGGTAAAAACTTTAGGATTGGTTACACTGAATCAGTAATTTTTCAAAAACTTCGTTTAGGGTATAACAACTAAACAGAACAACATATTTTTCTTATAATGTTCAAAATAAAAAAGGAAACTAGAGATAAAACAGTATCATTCTTTAAAAAAAATTTGTGTAAAAATGGGTAAAAAATGAAAGATGCTTGTCACACACACCTTCAACCAGCTTCTGCAGGCTGCTTCTCATCACATGGATATTCTCAATGCCACAGAACTGAAACTTGATGTCCGAGTAGAAGACCTCACTCTCGTACCCCTTCCCTGCTGCCCTGTTAGCCATTGCATTAATCTGGAATAGAAAAAATATGACAACATGATCATCTCAGTACATATCTTCTAACATATATTTCTTGAAAAACTCCTGCCATGAGGTCTAAGTACCAAAATTAAATTTGTGTACATAACGATATATGTCACATACTATATAATTCAAACCACTTGTGTCATTTTGATACACAGAAATGTGTCCAATGCATAACATCACCTTAATATACAAAACACATACATGTAACAGAGTGTGCAATTTCTGAAAATATATGAATATATAACAGTATGTAAACGAGTGATTGCTTATGTCTTAGTCCTGAGTTTTCCAATAATCTAGGTATATAAAATAATACATTCATCTTGAAAAAAATTTAAATCTGGAGTCACAAAACATTAAATCTTAAGCATGACATTTTCTAAAATAATTTTTTAATGACATGAATAAAGAGCTTGAATTTCAATGTAAGTGAAAGAAAACATCTCTATCAGTCCAAGACTTGGCACAAAAATGGAACCTTAGTAAAGACTTCTAGAAAAAATTCTGAGAAATGTAAACTATAATTTAAAAATCATGGTAAAATCAACCTCTATCCCTTCCTCTAAAAAAACAAACAGCCATGCAATAAAATGCACAGAAGTAAAGAGAGGTAATGGAAATATATTACTGAATTTTATCTAAAAATAGATTACAAAAATGGCATGAATTCCAATTAAATTGAAATCTGCATTTAACATTATCAAATGGCTTCTATAAGGAAATGCATGCTTTTTTCCCCCACACCACTGTTCAGAAAATCTTCAAACAAAATTAATACAAAAATTTAGTGTATTTTTCTTTCCCTATACAGAATAAGAGGAAACAGTAGTTTTGTTACTGTTATAATTGCCTAATTCTGTATCTTTTAATCAGCCAAATATTGAGTATAATACAAAAGGAGCTACAGATCCTTTATGTAAATTAATATGATTAACTTAACTATGTGTCACTGAGTGAAAAATTTAACGGTTTTCATGAGGTGAAAAAAAGTCCAGTAAGCAATCCTCCTCATTACCATAAATAAATCATTATTTTATCAAACTTATGCTTTCCTGACTACCAATACACTAGGCACAAATCAAATGAAAATACTTGTGCCACTTGTTGGATTATCATGCTACAAGCAACATGCATTAGAGAGCTAGAGAGAGCTAGACCACACTTTCAACCAACACTAAAAGTGGAGTGCAATGAAGAGAATAGAACAATAATGTAAACTGAGGTCTATTTCTAAGAAAGTCCCCCCACTAGTTCAGATGTGAACATCTGCCATCAACTTGACAAGTCTCTCGTTTTTTCTGATATTTTCATGCATGTAACAATACATGACATTGTAACTTGGGAGTTAACATATAAGTGGTTTAGGTTCCATCAAGGTTTGTTTAGTGATGCACAATACTATTTGACAATTATCGGTAGATAAAAGGCAAACTTTAAAGGAGTTTCAAAGGAAAAATGTTGGAAATGTTAAAACACATATACTTTAAATAGTGTCCACATGATAAACCTTTGCAACAAAACACAATGCCAAAAAATACTAACCAAATCAAACAGAGGTAAGCTACACAAAACTGGATCCGAGGGGAGAACAATTTGGATAAAATCAAACAGAACGTAAATAAAAAGTTCCATAAAAAATTCAATTTACTTAACTTGGCTTGTGCATACATGCATTGGTACTACGCGGTGGCATTAAAACAATCAAGGAATAAAACTCAAATAAACAATGAAAGGCAAAGTAATGGTGAGCAGCAGCAATGCATACTATTAACATTAGATACTTGGGAAATACAATCTTCAATCTATTTGTAAGCTTTATACTTTATGCTCTTTCAATGTTCTTATCATCTATAAAGGATGTTTTATTATAAGATAATGCAAGTATATTTTCATAAAATAAAAGAAAAATAAAGAAAAAATTTTTAATTACAGTGCATAAACATAAAAACATCAAAGGCAAACTGTAATAGCACAAAAGCTTGGTGTGATTTTCATTTTATAGTTAAAGGCATAGTGGGAAATTTAAAAATTATTGGTTCTATACATCCAGCCAAGCAGATTTTCATTGTGCTCTCATATTTTTTTATCTATTTTGTTTGAAAAAAAAAATGATGTGTAAAAAAGTTTTCCAGATAACTTATATTCAACCCAGACACAATATGTTGCCATCTCTTGCTTCTGACAAACTTTTGGTGGTCTGGAAGTTCTATAATAAATTATATATTTTTCTCACTTTAATTATCATTTTACCACTATTTGATGTTGAGATGCCTTGAACACACATTGTAGTGTATTTGTAAAACGCTTTAAAAAATCCCCTATGCCTTTATACAAATATAATTACACCTTATTTGACTTCTATTAGGCTCTAACCATAGAAACCAATATTTGGGGTTTTTACATATCAGTTAAAACAAAATGGACCAAGAAACTAATAATAATTTTGTTCACAAATGGACTAACTTAAACCATATATAAACTAAATGACATCAGAAAATGCCCTGGTATATAATGCTTCACATTGCGATTTAAACCCTTAAATATACAGGTGTTCCTGTGTCATCTAGTCAACCACTGGCATCAATTATTCGGGTCTATGTTAGTTCTGATGTGAACATGACCAGAAGATTCAGAAATATGGAAAGAGACATTTTATTGCAGTGTATCATGAGTTGCCCAAGACCAGTAGAATGTGCAGCGAGTGAAATAAATAAATAAATAAATAAATAAACAAATAAATAAATGAACCACAATCACTTGAAATGTGGAAAAACAAGAAACTAGAACGCTTCCACAAAACACTGAAGAGCAAAGAATCAGTATGCCCAGACTTAAATTCAATGAAGAATTTTTAGATAGTCCAAACTGATAGAGTTCAAAACCATATAAGCTGTTTAACAAAAGTTTTAGCAGCTTTTCACCAAACCAAGAGATGATTATATTGGGAAACCTGAACAGTAATAGTAAATCCAGTGGATCAAAATTCAGGTCTCAGGTGCACAAACAACATTTCCCATAGAGCTTAATTTCCTCTACAAAGTTGGTCATCAAAGATATTTTCCATTACCCGCAGACCACCTACCTTAGGCCGTGTATCCACAACATACATGAACTCGGACTTGGGGTTGGCTTTCAAGATGGCATGGAGCATCTTCTCGTCTTCCTCACATCTGGCCTTAAACCCTGCCAACGGCTGACTGCATCTGCAGATGGCGGCCTGAACATAATGAAGAAGATTTTAGAAAGATAACCTTATGACACATCTTGATTTCTATGTTACACTCAAAAGAAATGCTTAAATATCCATCTGCGAATATAAGTTTCAAGCTGTCAATTGCAAAGCAAAGGCGTGATCTGTCTAATAAGATGAAATTCTTTTTTCAGATAAGATGACATTAATAAGTTCTTAATTAATCTGACCATTTCAAATATAAAACTGATTATTTCATAATTTTTAGGGTACTTGTATTATAAAAAAATGAGGCAGCTGGGAAGCAATTTAATAAACCTTTTCCCCTTCTTCCTGAATACTATGCAAAAGCAATCACCTATAGGATGTTTATTTTGTAAATCTCACGATTATATACATGCAAAAACGACCAAAAGTACACAATTTCTTAAATCTAAATACACAAAAAAAAATTGGGTCTAAATAAATATGCTCTTTTATGTCGACCAGCACATGATAAAAAAACTGACACTTGTGTATATACAATTTCTCTCAGATCCTGGATAAAAAACACCATGAAAACATTCAACTTCCATTTAAATACCCTATCATCTTTCAGCTAGCAGGATGATGATAAATCAATACCTATAGCAGGGGCGCCTATCCCAGGGGAAATCTGGTAATAACCAGACAGTGTATTTTCAAAGAAATAACTTTCAATGTGTGGGGGAGTCTACAGCATAATATGACAGATCAAAATTTATCAATAGCTTAATTGCATTTCACGTGAGAAGAAACCATCCAATCTGATGCGCATTTTCACAACACAGGATTTCCACTATTCATTTCAAGGCTCTGATAACAAAACCTGAAGAACGGAGATTGGGTTGGTAAACAATCAATTGATCAACAACCACATTAGATTCCTCTTTGAAAACAGTTAACCAAGCAATTAAAGTACATTCAGCACTCCTATAAACAAAATGTTACTAGTGAGTCTCAACTTGGTCATGTACAAAAGTCTTTAGCAATTAAGTCCAGTTTCCAATCTTACCAATCAGGGCATTTTTAGGCATTCGAGTGAAAATTTTATGTGCTATGGCCCAGGGGGTTTCTCAGGATTATGTAAATACCAGTGACATGCTTTTCCATGGGATGGACGAGAAAAGGTAAGAATACAGCTATGAAGACTGATGAATGACTTACCTGATTGGTGTTGTGTAAATAACACAGTACTGGTAACCTTCCCCTGCTACGGAAGCGAGCACTGGCAATAAGCACTGGTGTACTGACTCCACTGGGAACATAGAGATACTTGGGATATGTGTCACAAATCTGAAAAATGTTCCTTGTTCTTGTAATAAAATATAAAACTTAAAATATTGTCAAAGAGTAATATTATACTTAGAGTATATGTGGTGTTAAAATTTCCTTAATGTAAAATATCAAAACATTTAAATAATGTCACTGCTAATTTTAGTTGGTATGTTCTAGAATTTTTAAGTTTAATCTTTACATTGTGCACAGTACTAAGACAAATGTGGAGCAGTCTTACAGAACATTTTGCTATTATTATTATCATCACTATTATAACCAATTTTTGATCATATAAATTATAGCAGATGTATACTTTTGTTAGCAAAATGAATCATCATCATCATCTTTTATTTTTATTATAAACAATACTTTGTTCAATATTTCAAAAAAACACACCAGATAAAAACACAATTTTCACCTCATAGTCTTTATTCATCTGTGTGAGGGCCCAGTGGGCATTGGGCACACCCATCCGTAAGTACTCGGACTCCAGACTGAAGAAGTTCCAGCCCTGGTGTTTGGGCATGTCATCTGGGGAGGTGTAGTGGAACGCATACAGCTCTTCTATGTCAGCTGGCAAACAAAAGAAAAACACAGGTCAGAGGTATATTTCCCCCCACAATTTCATAGACAGGGCTTGAATGCCTGATCAAGGGTGGCATTCAAAAACTGCTTTTACATCATTTGTTATAACTGATATTGAAAAATAATAAAAAGTAATTCAGATAGACACTCTGGTTTATTTGTTAAAAATGTTTCACTGCAGATGAATTGGTCACAGGCCCCTTCATCCTGCCTGTGTCAGGCCATTACAGACCATTACAAATGGTACCCGCTGTCTTTTCTCTGAACAATCTGTAGAGGTTGAAACAGCAGGTAGAAAAATGTTCATGGCACTTGTGAATTATTATTCCCAGTAAAACATCTGCAACAGCTTGGGCCATATGCTCCTACAGGAAGTTAGGACAATTTTGATCAAACAAATCCACAAAGCCCAGCCCTATACTCTGTTAAGTAGACAATTTTGTTTATTGAGGATATCAAGCATGACTATTTTTTTTACCTTTTGTGTCATTTACATTGTTTTCTAAAACACATACTATTAGATGACTGTTAAAATTCTGTTTAGTCTAAAGATAGGTATAATAAGCTCTTGACTATGTATGTAAAAAGGAACATTATTTGCAAATTAAAGACAGTGAGCCCTTCATCAAATTCTATTCAATTTGTCAGTGAAAACTGTAGGTGGAATGAGCAAGCTGCAAAGGTGACCTCTACTGAAATGATATAGACATACATGTGCACCATTTACACTCACTTCCTGATGTCCCACGCAATGTCCTACGTGACACCGGGAACCCACTCACTGAATTTGCAACATGAAAAATATCGCAAAAAAACAAAAACTACATGGAGTTCTTAGCAAAGAGAATTACTTCAATTAAGGTATGCTTTTTGAAAAATGGGTTGAGGAAGTAAGATGACAACCTTTCGACATGCTACCAGATGATCCATCTCGTTTTCTTTTATTAGCTGCCCACTAGACAACCTTCTCGTAATTATCTCTTGCACTTAACCTTTACTTCTCTCGCGTGAATGAAATCAATTTTGATAAATTTGCATCAAAGTCAATTATCTGAATATCATGGGGTGTGCACACAATGTTTTTTTTCTTTTTGTTTAAAAATTGAACTGGATATCTGACTATTTTTGGATATCCTCTGAAGTTATGACTGATATTCTTGACAGCAAAAACAATTATTTTGTAAATGGAGAAAAAGGGATCCTTTTCAAGCTTCTCAATCAAAATGCTGAAAATACATTGCATAATAAACCGAATTTGGTATAAGATCAACTGTGTCCTAAGGGTCTCTTAACATTGATCAGTTAATGTACAAAACAGTTACTGGATCATTTTCACTTTCGGCAAGATCCCTCCAATGAAGATGTTATCTGTAACGAGGCCAAAGTATACACTATTGAGAGAGACTTACACCAACACTGATGAAATTGAAGCTAGTATTTTCAAAAATTGAAATGCATACATTTGTCTTTTATATAGCGCTGCGCAAATAAAAGACTTGGCCACTTACTAGCATACGTGGAAATTGAAGCTGAGTCTCCTTATTTTGTTTCTCTAAGTGTGTCTACTATTTCTGGCAAATGACTTTCTAATGACACTGACATCCGTTAAAATTGTAATATCACACACCATTCTGTCAAAATGAAGATGTCTCCACTATTCGGTAAATATCATTTCCCTCATTTTCAAAGATCACAATGTGGAATGCCAAGCCTATCAGAACAGTATCATTGGCATTATTTCGTTGAACAAATCAAGTTTGATACCATAATGAAACCTTATTATTACAGGAACTAATTCGAAGGATGTTTATAACGGGACAGCCATCAAATTTTCCAAGTGAAAATCAATACTTCTTTATCAATGAGAAATATACGCTCTTAATCAACTCGTGATAAGTTTACGTGTCGCACTCATTATCTTTTAAGTAACTCAATAATGAAAATTTACGTCAATGTTAACCACATTAAAGATAAGCTCAAGAGACATAACAGGATTTATTTTGTCTATTAAATTTATTTTCCTCATGTAACATATTAATTCCTTCCTTAAACTTTTTCCAAAATGCAGGCCTACCCAACTACCAGACTCGGCACCGAATGATCCAGGATTCACCGGTAGATCAGACCACACTACCCGTTTTCAAGGTGTGTGTCAGATCGCATTACACAGTATCAGACGCGACACCGCTCTTGCCTAGTACGCGATGTGATAGTGACGATTCTCAGCAGGGTAGAAAAGCATTGCATCACCACTCAAAATTTGTTCAGGGTATGATACTGTGTAATGCGATCTGACACACACCTTGAAAATGGGTAGTGTGGTCTGATCTACCGGTGAATTCTGGATCATTCGGTGCCGAGTCTGGTAGTTGGGTAGGCCTGAAAATGGGTCTTCTGTAAAGAAAAGAAAACTGCATGCTTATTGCACAAGAAGTAACACCTAAGTTTCGCCCACCTCTCCACTATCAGCATACCTCTGCCATTCCCAATATCTCCGAAACTATGAAATATATACTAAGCATGAAACTCAGGGTGCTTATCTGGCAATATTGATCAAGTCCAAAAACAAAAGAGCACCACTTATTCTTAATTTACATTAAAAAGTGTATGCAAGACAGGGGGTGCGAAAGTAAGCATGCAAAATTGTATGCTGACGTAAATTTCAATTACTCATCCTGCTCAACGACTGTGTACTCACATAACCTTTCAATGGTAGCTTCCGAAGGCCTCAAAGTCACCTTGTGACATTTTTTTACTGATATAACAAAATAGTGTACTTCATGGACATGTGTGCTTAAGAAAATTATTTTTTCTGTGTTGATTAACAGCATTGTACAGCATCGTATGTGCTATCTGTTTAAATAGAATGAAGATAAAGGTTAAGTGTGCCGTGTACCTACATAAACTATAAGAATATACAACACAGATTTGCCTATGTTATTATAAAATTTTCAATGTCTGATCTCTTCATTAACCAACTCACTGATTCCCTTATTTTAAAGATGCATTTGAAGTCATATTATTTCCAATAAACCTGATTAAATGCTACCATATAGTTTCAAATAGCATCCGTAATTTAGAGAAATACAAAAATATCGTTCCAAATATATAAGAAACTTATCATCACCTGGAAGATCCAACAGCTTTCCAAAATTGACACACTTGTTCTCTGGCTTAGATTTTCAGATGACCAAAAAAATGAGAATAAAATCAGACCATATGTTTTTTCAGTGTTCTAAAAGCCTTAAATAGGCCTCCCCTAAAAAGGAGCCCTCAGACTGACATGCTAAAAATTTTATAATTAAATCTGTTTTTTTTTTTTACCAATTTACACAAATGACCTCATGAAATCCTCTTCATTGCCATTTTGCAACTTGTTACCTGAAGAAATCAATCACATAGTTTTGGCAACCAAAAAGCCTCCTGCTAGATACCCAATGAAATGTTTTTTTTTTTCACACAGAACTCTCTATTTCTAAAATGGAGCATTTAACCTTATACAAGGTGAATTGTAGTTCTAAATACAATAAATTGATATAAAATACTGCGAATCCAAATGTAAGGCTGTAATCATCTGGGAGTTCATTTGCTCTTTACCCTTACTGTGAAGAACATTTCCTCAGGATAATGAAGTGGATTCTAGCAAATTATCCATATTTTTTATGTTTTTTCCTCCATTTTTCCATATCTTAGCATAAGCGAGGGTATGTAAAGTGTCATTATGCCTTTAAATAATGCAACTCTAATATATGACCAGTGTCAGGAATCAATGGCAATGGGAATAGAATCAGTTAAGTGCATCATAAATGCTACATATGAGCCTTTTTATATAGAAAATAAAACAAAAATGCTAAAATTCACCAAATCAAGTGACCTCAACTTTTACATGCCCATATACAGATGTTTTGTATTACTTCACCAAATCTTCACAGTTCCTCTGAATTGAGATAGATGGAAGCACATATTGGCATTACTATAGTGATCTAGGGAAATAAGTGAGCACATTTCCTTTCATCTTTTAAACATTTTTACACATGCCTCTATGTATTCTGTAGCTAGGGACTACATTTTCAGTTGTTGTTGAAAATCACTAGGCTAAAAGGCAAACATTTTTGTCCTCTGCTTCAGGGCATCGATCTATTTTCCTTAGTTTTTGTTCACAAATAAAGCACCATTTATTGAGTTTTTCTTTTCACATCTTCTCAAACTCATATGTTGTTTGACACAAAAAGTATTATCAAATTATTCTTTTTAAAGTATTTTTCTTTAGTTTTAATTGCATTGTATAAACTTATTTATTGGTTACAGTTCCATATAAAAAATAAGCAGGATTTAAGAAGAAATAAGATGACCATTGGAAATGAAAAGAAGTTTATTTGAGACTATCAAAAACAGCCAAAATAGTCATTTTCTAAAAAAAATGTAAACGTCAGAATACTCTAAATTCTGAATTCCAGGAACGAGTGAAAGAGCTGCCAAAGAGATAAGGAATTCTCCAAAACACTTCCCAAAAGGCAAAAAGGAAATAACCTGTCCATCACGAGCAGCAACTACGGCATGTATAAATCAGCAATTAATACATAAATACAGATATAGTTCTTGCAATTGCTCTTTTTTCAATTTTTACATGAAAATTCAGGGTACTTTTTGTTGCATAATTTTAAAACAATTATATAATCATTAAGGAAAAGATTTACGTCTGTCTGGGATCTTCCATGAACTAAGTTGTGCTCCTTGCCTCGGGGAATAGAAAATAAGTCGATAATTCAGTCTGTGCTATCTGTAATGCAACATTGAAGTTTCTCTGATTGTTCTGGAGAAAAGGAAGCAATTACACTACACAGTCTTTTCATTTTCTATATATTGCTCAAAGTATTAGGCCTTCCACTGACACTGAAGGAAGTGTCCAATCAACTAAAATGTTTTACTAATATCCCTTTGTCACTATGTGTTTTTTAATCATAGCAATGGATATACCAATCTAGGGCCCTGCCATAATGTAGTGCCATCTTAAAATAGCACATTTAACAATGTTGACAATTTTTTTGTGTGTTTCTTGATAATACATGAATGGGATGTGGTATGGTCACCCCCCTCCAAAAAAAAAAAATAAAAAATAAAATAAAATAAATAAATAAATGTCTGGCAATATTTAAATAGTCATAAAAATTTTCATAGATTTACATTTCTCCCTTTTAAATATGAAAATACCTAATTATACTACATACTTTTTGGCAAGAACATATATCAAAACCTTAGACTGATGTATATAATATTTATTCATTGAGTACTTTTTTGGGGAAAACAAAACAAACAAAAAATAAGTTGTCTAACTTGAGTTTTATACACAATTGTGTCTAGAATTTCTGTCTATACTACTACTTACTTGGATGTGCCAGCTTAAGTAAAGATGTGTAGATATCGTGGCAGTCTCTTTCTCTTGGGATAATAAAAGTAACACACAGGAATGTCTTGCAGCGGATGACCAGTGGAGAGCCTGTAGTGGACAGTGGCTGTTTCTCTATACTTGCTATATGCATGTGAAGAATCTAAAAAGAATAAAAAAATGAGGTAAAATTGTGCAAAGTTGACTTATTTTGTACCTTTCAACCCCCACTTTTGATTATCAAAAATATTCCTTTTGGGGGAGAGAAAATTTATATTTTAATTTTTTTCTAATAGTTTTAATTCTTTAATGGAGACACCCAGTAGAGAAAATGGCAATGTTGGAAGGAAGAAGCAATTTACTTCATTCAAATAATTTAAGCATATTTTTTTTTTAATATTAAGAGTCGAGTTCATGTCCTGAAAATGTTCAATCAAATGTAAGTAATTGCAAATAAACATTTCATGACACGAAAGCCATGCCCTGTAAAGTTAAAATCAGGATAACACGTTATCCTAGAGTCAAATTACAACAAGAACACGTCTGTTAGTGATACTTCTATTGGACAAAAAGATCTTATATTGCTACTGCAGATTAACTGGAAAAACTACATCTCTCTCTCTCTCATGTGTGTGTATTTACATATTTGTCTTGTGCTACAAAGTATAGTGAAATCTCATCCTTGTTGCCTGAACGGGTGAAACACCATCTATAATCAAAACTCTAAGCACTTTGAAAATGGCCATTCAATCCTCAAACAAATAATTTTCTGCCAAATCACCTAGATTGTACTTAATTTTAAAATAAAATCTTCATCAAACAACATTATCTTTAATCAATGGCAAAATTCACCAGGCTGGAGTGAGCTCATCAAAATGTCTGAATACAAAATATGCATAGAACTCTCGTATGGTTGCAAGACACCTTACAAAACTCATAAATTCTGAATGAACCTTATCAAAATATGACATGACACCAACCACCCTCATCTGATGAGGTTCTGACGCCACTAAAAGCAATCTTCAAGCTAAATCCATTTCATAAGAATGCTTATTCAGTGTCAGCTTCCAACTTAAAACTATAGTGAAGAGTTCAAGCATTCAGTTATAGTGTCATCAAGAATGGAATGAAGAATTTTCATTAACTTTCCTTTCTCTCTTCCATTATCATTGCCAACCACCTTTAAAGTTAGGAAGCAAATTAAAAGTTATCACCAGAACTATCTAGGCCCCCTTTTCTCTTGCTTTTACAAGTGAGACGATCCAGAATTTTGTGCCGATTAAAGTGCACAATATAACCACTTTAGGGAGACAGTAATCAATGTCTAGTATTTCAAGTTGTCACACTAATTCCATTGAAAACCAAAGCATGGTTTCTTGGTTATTGACACTGACAAGGTTGGCAGTTTCCAACTAAAAAGGGTGCAAGTTATCTTGAAGACCCTTAATTACTTTCATATTCTGAGACTTTTGGTTAAACCCCCCATCATTTTTTTTCCCTTCTTTAATTAAGCAATCTGATACTTTCTTTTTCCTGGATGGTTGACACCTTACTATCTGATTTTTGACCTGAAACATACTTCCTAAAGCTTACATGTACATGTAAAGAAAATATTTTCATTACCGCCCTTTCCCTTTTGCCCCCTTCCCATAAAACTGGTAGCAAAAAAGTGGTTACTTTTTTTTACACTGGTTTTCACAAAGAAAACAGTTATGATGCCACAAGGGACATGTTTTTCAAGCATAGCAAATCCCTTCAAGACTAATAATGCATGATGAATGGTTTAATTATGCAAAAGATGGAAACAACAAATACAGTAAAGCTCACATTTGTAGACAAATGAGAAGTGATTGATCTGCAGATCATTATATGATCTCATTTGACAGTTACGCGTCCGGAATAAAAAATCAACAAGTGACTAATACAGCGCCACAAACATCATTAAAAAAAGAGCAATCAATGCATGGATTGTTCTCAGACTAGAAGAGAAGTTCCGTGTGCACAAAAGACGTCATAAAAACTGGATTATTTTCTGAACTGTTCAATCATTCTCATAATAAAATCCAACGAGTTTTGTGTAATTATACAAGGAAACTACATACTGTCAATATACCACAAAAGTGAATCAGGGAGTAGATTTTCTTTGGACTATTCAAGGTGAATGCATGCATTTGCATTTTTCCTTGTATTCATATATATACACTCAAATGTAAAAGGTAAAAATCTTTTACAAAGTGTTTCAAACTACCTTTTTATACTAATGAGTTTAAAAGACCAAAAAATCTGTGTAAACACACCAAAACAAGGCACAATTGTTTATTTATTGATTAGAAAAACATCCTGATGCAAAAAAAAAAAAAAAAAAAAAAAAAAAAAAACCAACGATCATCTACGGGTTGTTTTTTTTTAAAGCAACATATCCCCTACATAACTTTTGCCTGGTTTACTTGAAAGTATAAGTTTCATAGCCTTTCATTACCAAAACAATCTCACTCATGGAAAAAGCTTTCGGAAAGCATCCTGTATTATTTTAAATGTCCCATTATTAAGTAAAATTATCTTAAAATTTACTAAAACCAAGGTGAACAGAAAAAGAATTTCAACATTGTATTCTGACATAAACAGAAACGGTAGAATGTACATGACAACAATAACATTTCCTGACAACTTAGTCAATACAAAATACATAATCAGTATACTCCACCATAATAAATGCATAATTAATGTGGATTTTAAACAGATGGGACTAGCTTCCTCTGGTGCATTTGGGTTCTAACCAACTCTGTTCGTTACTGTATTGGGATACAGGAGATTTTAATTGAGTAATCCTCCCTTGTTAGTGATAGTGGCACCTTCTACCAGTCAAAATGTTAAAGGACTTAGCAACTCAGTCAAAAGAAGACTTTTGATCTACAGGGAGAAGAGTTTAAGACTGAATGAACAAATTCCATTATCTTTATAGAAACCCTTTTGAGTGTGCTGTAAGTTACTGTTTTATTAAAAAAAGAGCCTGGTGATGCCATTTTAAAGTTGTGCACCAATGCATTTATATATAATTAGCCACTCTCACTTCCCATTTTCTTCACATTTATACAGTGCTGTACACATATAAAATTCATTATTTTGTTAATAAAATAATGTGAAGCACCAACTGAGACAGGGGCTAGAAAGATTTTTTAGACCCTAAGGTACTTCTAATGTCCATAAGACTGTACTGATAAAGGATTAACTTCTATGAAGGAGAAAAAACAAAGTCAAAAAAATCTATAAATATCAGGCTGAATGATTAATGTGCTATCAGCCACTAAAACAAGCATCCTCTGCACTCTTGTAGAACGCCTTTGTAACAGATATGTTGTGTCGCAGATGTTAAACCCCTGTCGTAATGAATAGCTAAGTCTTCACTCCCACGCACTGCTGATAAGCACTCCAGATAGCATTCACACGACATCATCGCAGGCGCAGTTGTTAATAGTTTTATGATGTCACTTTGCTGACTCGAGCCTGTTTTCACTGGCTATGGCATTCCTGCGGCACGATCAATTCCTCCTGGAAAACATGCTGACCCAGACACAACTCTCTAATGTTTGAGCTTGGTGCCTAGAGACTTGATAACAGGAATTTCCTCTTCAAAACATCCCATAGGTTTTGAATTGTCCAGAAAACAGTTGTCAATAAGTCAAAATACGTGGGTGTTAGAACATTGTAGTCGAGTGCAATCAATTGATCCCAAATGTTTAAGTGAGAAAGAGTCAAGTCAAATGCATGATTTACCTGTAACAAAACCTTTGTCAATCGAAGAGTGGTATCAACAGTATTGTCAATGATCTTGAACAGATGAAACATATTTACATCCTGTCACTTTGCAGCAAACATTTCTTTAACAGTTGTAAAATTTTAAGCTTTTTGAAAGTTTATATGCTGGTCTTTGGCCCACAGTCCAGTTTATTAATTTCCAAAGATAAATTTCAAATCTATATTAGAAAAAGAAAAAGAAGAGGGCAAAAAAAAAAAAAAAATCCAGGTAACAGAATCACTTCTGGTGTGGTGTGAAATACATACACCTCTAGTAATAATACCCATAGTACAGATGTTGGCACAAATTACAAATTTGCTATCTTTCAAGAGAATACAAAATCAACGGAAGGTACTTGATCAAAGAATTATCATTCCAAGATGTCTGCCCTCCACAGGGATCTTCCAGAATCCTATCCTTTGCCCTCTTTTCTGATCAATAGTTCACAGTGGATTCAACAGTCAATAAGAATATTTTCTACCAAAGCAACAATTTTTTTTACATCTAAAATGATTTTCCAATTAAAAAAAAAAAAAAAATTCCCCGTCAGATTCATCTCACAAAGGACATCAATTACCATTCAGTTAACGTTATGATGAAAGTCTGTAATTGGGTTGAGGAAAGGTACCTTGATGTATTATGGACTACCAATGTGTCTGTTATCTTGACAGACTTGAATTAAGCTGAAGATTTAAAGAGTTTTCTGATTGTTCATCAGTTCCTGTTATTCTCTTTGACATCCAATAGTCTGAAAAAATCCTATTTACCCTATTTCCCTGTTGAAATCTAAATGCAATTGAGTTGCATGACCTTTTCAGAATGCTGTTTTGTACTACAACATGCATACTTTCTAATTAATCAGTCTCGTGTATGTGTAAAACATTGTGAACATGGGCATTTACCATTAAAATCCTTTTCAGAATCTATTATAAAATTTTGTGTGTTCAATGTTTTATCAATAATTAATGTCATTAGTCACACTTTCTTTATATACAACACGCAAAACAAGAAAACAAAAAACAATTTTATTTGCAAAGTTCAAAACCATTTTGTCTTACAATTAAAACATAGACCACATCCTTCACAACAAAGCTTATTTCATACTGGCCTTCAATCTTAGATTTCATTACCGCATTTGTCGTCATCACATCATTCATCACACTCAAATATGTACTTCAAGACATCATCCTAAGTTCTCCTCTCCTCGACTACAACCACAAACATGATATGTGATACAAAACATACAGAAATACTAATTAAAAAATTTCTTTACAAAGACCTCACCCATGTTTCTCTCTTCCCAGCTGGGTCCACAAAGATGAGATGCGTGGCAGTCAGGTACAATGTGCCCACTATTGGCTTTCTTACATTGAAGCGATCCAAAAGACGAACATTTTCAACCTGGAAATTAAGAAAAAAAAAATCTTAAACAGTGTTTAGGGATGTACACAATCAATTTTTTTTTCTTATTATTCACATAATGAAATGTATACACTTAAGTCCATACATAACAAATACAATTATACATAACATATTTGCACACATAAATTACAAAGGACATTCAAGAAGTGAAAGTCCCCATCTTTTTATAGCTGATATACTTAACTATATGTACATAAAGTATAAACCACTTTGAGAATTTCTCAAGAACAGGTCATTAGAGATGGCAAACGGGTACACAAGTAGTAGAAGTATGTAAATCAACACTATTTGGAAAACGCTGATAAGTACTGATTAAGCTGGAAAGTAGAAAACACTGTCGAGGGTGTTGCTAAGGGGCTAGGTAATAATTAAATTGGGAATACAGTGAGGACATTTAGTATAATTGCTTTCTGTCTTGCGATGTTAGAATGGCACTGTAACGAACACTGCTGTTGGTGCTGCTGCCCCATGGAGAAACCAGGGCACCGTAACTCAAAAGCATCGCAACCGAGTGCAAGCGTCTTGATTCCATAACTCATACTTGCCCCATATAATACATTGTAGCCTCTATGTGATATCGCTATTCGCAATATGCCATGCTTTCCAGTTATGGGGCTCAGGTCTCAACAAAAAAGTGTAAAGTGACTTTCTTCATTGCAATTAACCAACAGAAACTGTTTCATTTGTGGCTAATACAGCATCAAAAGATACTGATAAATGTGAATTCACCCTTCAGTGTTAACTTTTCTGTCAGTATTTCTTTTTTAATATTTCTTAATTTACTTAGAGATCATGACACACATTTCTTTTGGCCAACTTATTTATCATCACCTATCCGCCTAAACCAAAAGATTCATTTGTCTGAGAAAATACCACTGAACAGCTGAAAAAAAATTGCAAGAGTTTCAAGTACAGTAAGAATCGGGCATAAAAAATTTTCTTCAAATGGAACACTGATTATGTTCAATCTATAGGGAGAGCTACAGAAAAAAAAATGTCTGCTTAAGATCCCAGCATGATTGACATAAATATCACCAGCAAAGTGTGAATATTTGATGTGCACACAGAAACTGAAATACAATACAACATCAATTTGATTGGTACATTATCTGTGGACATGGTAAACAAATCAGTCTGTATCTGGTAGAGCTGCCACAGGATAGTCTTGTACATGGATATCTGGATGTGAAAGAACTGCTGAAATAATTGCTCTAGATCATGGAAGAAACAAAATCAACTCTCCATTAAAATTGCCTTACATGTGTTTAGCCACCTGTTCATAAAATATACTTCATATTTCAGGAAATCATACAAATTCCTTTTCCTGATACAAGGTGTACNCCCCCCCCCCCCAAAAAAAAAAATAATAAATAAATAAATAAATAAATGTCTGGCAATATTTAAATAGTCATAAAAATTTTCATAGATTTACATTTCTCCCTTTTAAATATGAAAATACCAAATTATACTACATACTTTTTGGCAAGAACATATATTAAAACCTTAGACTGATGTATATATTTATTCATTGTGTACTTTTTTGGGCAAAACAAAACAAACAAAAAATAAGTTGTCTAACCTGAGTTTTATACACAATTGTGTCTAGAATTTCTGTCTATACTACTACTTACTTGGATGTGCCAGCTTAAGTAAAGACGTGTAGATATCGTGGCAGTCTCTTTCTCTTGGGATAATAAAAGTAACACACAGGAATGTCTTGCAGCGGATGACCAGTGGAGAGCCTGTAGTGGACAGTGGCTGTTTCTCTATACTTGCTATATGCATGTGAAGAATCTAAAAAGAATAATAGAATGAAGTAAAATTGTGCAAAGTTGACTTATTTTGTACCTTTCAACCCCCACTTTTGATTATCAAAAATATTACTTTTGGGAATGGATAGAAAATTAATATTTTAATTTTTTTCTAATAGTTTTAATTCTTTAATGGAGACACCCAGTAGAGAAAATGGCAATGTTGGAAGGAAGTAGCACTTTACTTCATTCAAATAATTTAAACAATTTTTTTTTTAATTAAGAGTCGAGTTCATGTCCTGAAAATGTTCAATCAAATGTAAGTAATTGCAAATAAACATTTCATGACACGAAAGCCATGCCCTGTAAAGTTAAAATCAGGATAACACGTTATCCTAGAGTCAAATTACAACAAGAACACGTCTGTTAGTGATACTTCTATTGGACAAAAAAATCTTATATTGCTACTGCAGATTAACTGGAAAAACTACATCTCTCTCTCTCTCTCTCTCTCTCATGTGTGTGTATTTACATATTTGTCTTGTGCTACAAAGTATAGTGAAATCTCATCCTTGTTGCCTGAACGGGTGAAACACCATCTATAATCAAAACTCTAAGCACTTTGAAAATGGCCATTCAATCCTCAAACAAATAATTTTCTGCCAAATCACCTGGATTGTACTTAATTTTAAAATAAAATCTTCATCAAACAACATTATCTTTAATCAATGGCAAAATTCACCAGGCTGGAGTGAGCTCATCAAAATGTCTGAATATAAAATATGCAGAGAACTCTCGAATGGTTGCAAGACACCTTACAAAACTCATAAATTCTGAATGAACCTTATCAAAATATGACATGACACCAACCACCCTCATCTGATGAGGTTCTGACGCCACTAAAAGCAATCTTCAAGCTAAATCCATTTCATAAGAATGCTTATTCAGTGTCAGCTTCCAACTTAAAACTATAGTGAAGAGTTCAAGCATTCAGTTATAGTGTCATCAAGAATGGAATGAAGAATTTTCATTAACTTTCCTTTCTCTCTTCCATTATCATTGCCAACCACCTTTAAAGTTAGGAAGCAAATTAAAAGTTATCACCAGAACTATCTAGGCCCCCTTTTCTCTTGCTTTTACAAGTGAGACGATCCAGAATTTTGTGTGGATTAAAGTGTACAATATAACCACTTTAGGGAGACAGTAATCAATGTCTAGTATTTCAAGTTGTCACACTAATTCCACTGAAAACCAAAGCATGGCTTCTTGGTTATTGACACTGACAAGGTTGGCAGTTTCCAACTAAAAAGGGTGCAAGTAATCTTGAAGAGCTTTACTTACTTTCATATTCTGAGACTTTTGGTTAAACCCCCATAATTTTTTTCATTCTTTAATTAAGCAATCTGATATTTTCTTTTTCCTGGATGGTGACACCTTACTAATGGTGACACCTTACTAATTGACCTGAAACATACTTCCTAAAGCTTATATGTACATACAAAGAAAATATTTTCATTACTGCCCTTTCCCTTTTGCCCCCTTCCCATAAAACTGGTAGCAAAAGTGTGGTTACTTTTTTTATGCTGGTTTTCACAAAGAAAACAGTTATGATGCCATAAGGGACATGTTTTTCAAGCATAGCAAATCCCTTCAAGACTAATAATGCATGATGAATGGTTTAATTATGCAAAAGATGGAAACAACAAATACAGTAAAGCTCACATTTGTAGACAAATGAGAAGTGATTGATCTGCAGATCATTACATGATCTCATTTGACAGTTACGCGTCCGGAATAAAAAATCAACAAGTGACTAATACAGCGCCACAAACATCATTAAAAAAAAGAGCAATCAATGCATGGATTGTTCTCAGACTAGAAGAGAAGTTCCGTGTGCAAAAAAGACGTCATAAAAACTGGATTATTTCTGAACTGTTCAATCATTCTCATAATAAAATCCAATGAGTTTTGTGTAATTATACAAGGAAACTACATAATGTCCATAATATAATATATAATATACCACAAAAGTGAATCAGGGAGTAGATTTTCTTTGAACTATTCAAGGTGAATGCATGCGTGTGCATTTTTCCCTGCATTCATACATGTACACTCACATGTAAAAGGTAAAAATCTTTTAAAAAGTTTTTCAAAGTACCTTTTTATACTAATGAGTTTAATAGACCAAAAAATCTGTATAAACACACCAAAACAAGGCACAATTGTTTATTTATTGATTAGAAAAACATCCTGATGCAAAAAAAAAAAAAAAAAAAAAAAAATTAAAAGACCATCTACGTTTTTTTTTTTTTTTTTAAGCTGCATATCCCTTACATAACTCTTGCCTGGTTTACTTAAAAGTATTTGTTTCATAGCCATTCATTACCAAAACAATCTCACTCATGGAAAAAAGCTTTCAGAAAGCATCCTATATTATTTTAAATGTCCCATTATTAAGTTAATTAAACTTAAAAATTTACTAAAACCTAGGTGAACAGAAAAAGAATTTCAACATTGTATTCTGACATAAACAGAAACGGTAGAATGTACATGACAACAATATCATTTCCTGACAACTTAGTCAATACAAAATACATAATCAGTATACTCCACCATAACAAATGCATAATTAATGTGGATTTTAAACAGATGGACTAGCTTCCTCTGGTGCATTTGGGTTCTAACCAACTCTGTTTGTTTCTGTATTGGGTGGGACACAGGAGATTTTAATTGAGTAATCCTCCCTTGTTAGTGATAGTGGCACCTTCTACCAGTCAAAATGTTAAAGGACTTAGCAACTCAGTCAAAAGAAGACGTTTGACCTACAGGGAGAAGAGTTTAAGACTGAATGAACAAACTCCATTATCTTTATAGAAACCCTTTTGAGTGTGCTGTAAGTTACTGTTTTATTAAAAAAAGAGCCTGGTGATGCCATTTTAAAGTTGTGCACCAATGCATTTATATATAATTAGCCACTCTCACTTCCCATTTTCTTCACATTTATACAGTGCTGTACACATATAAAATTCATTATTTTGGTAATAAAATAATGTGAAGCACCAACTCAGACAAGGGCTAGAGAGATTTTTTAGACCCTTAAGATACTTCTAATGTCCATAAGACTGTACTGATAAAGTATTAACTTCTATGAAGGAGAAAAAACAAAGTCAAAAAAATCTATAACTATCAGACTGAATGATTAATGTGCTTTCAGCCACTAAAACAAGCATCCTC